TATATGCATAAATGTATCCACACACATATATCCACAGAACTAGCAGAAGATTTTAAACTAATTTGAGCTCGGGGCCGGACCAGACAAATCATGTATTAGAATAATGATTGCCCCAATTGATTGATTGATTGATTAATTAAAAACATCTTATTTTTCTTATTAATACTTTGTTGTTGTTGTTGTATTCCGCAAAGAACCATATTCTGAAAGTAAAACATTTTGATGAACAAATATTTCCACAAAAATGTTTTGCAAAATGTCATATTGAGCTCCCAGTTTCGCTACAAAACTAAACAGTGGGTTAGATGGAATAACTTTCTTGTAATTAATCAACATTACACCGCAGTTTTAAATAAACATAGCATAAAATAAACCATTCTACTGAAACTTTTTGCAGCACAACAGCGATGATATTGTTACCGGGTTTGCTTCGGGAAACCGAAGTAAGAGGCGCATAGAGACGCTCGCCTATTCTTCCGCGAGAAAAAATAGACCCGCGAAATTAACACACTGCTGCAAGGCAGCGACACCGAAAGATAAATACTTAGTTAAAAACAATTTATTAGCAAAGCAATAAATTAAAGCTATTTATTATTAAAATGTAGTATTTATTTAAAAGATACGTTTATAATTCTATTCACAGTGAATCTCTCTCTCTCTCTCTCTCTCTCTCTCTCTCTCTCTCACACACACACACATCACGCACGCACGCGCGCACACACACACACACGCACACACACAGCAAAGCATCTGTTATTGTTTAAATGCCCATGACATCATTGACTAAGAACACCTGACAGTAAACAACCTGTCATGTTTAGAAGCTGATGGCATCATAGCAGACCTACAGAATCCAGCACAGCTCTCAGTGTTGAAGGCTCTTAGCAGGAATCAGTTCTTATTTGCAGATACTCCTCATTATTAAAGCTTGCTTTAGCAAAGATGGCTCAAGGAGAACATCCCAATGGAAACATTCCTGTAGCTGGATATTTAGACCTGGGGCCGCAGTATGTGATTTCAACAACAGTGAGGCACGGGGACGTCGTAAGGATTCTTCCAGACATTTACATTCCCCGTACCTTAACTGCTATATCCCCCAACTTATTTGTCACGTTGGTTCAACAAGCTCTCATTAATTTGCTGCACTTTCCTCTGACGCCTGGTCCTGAATTTAATCCACTGATAGACCTCCTGGACCAGAATGCAGATTACTGGAGCGTTGAGATTCATTCAGCAGGTGACCCTTCGACAATTTCATTTTATCCAGTACACAATACAGTCTCACAAGAAGCTGAGAGACCTGTAGAGGGACCTCAAGTTCCTGCGGCTCAACCTCCAACAGCATCCAATTCACCTTCAGAATCCGATTCGGACTCTGCGTCGTGTTCTGCAGCACCACTTGGCGAGAGATCCAGAGATCCTGAAAAACCTGCATCTTCACATCTGCCCAGATCCAGCACAACCACAGACGAAAGTCAGGATGAAACAAACGAGGGCAGTAAAAGAAAAAGAAAGACAAATGACAGTTCAGAGTGCACAGAACCAAAAAGGAGAAGATCAGACTGGAACTTGGTGGTTTCTGCACCTGCAAAAAAAGAAGGAATATCAATTGATGATGAACAGCCTGGACCCTCTTGGCTTTGCAACAAAGAGATCCAGGCGCCTTCCGACCAAAGCTCCAGCAGTAAGACAGAGATGAGACAGGGTGGTAAAAGAAAAGGATCGTTTCCTGACAGCTCAGAGAGCGAACGAGCAAAAAAGAGGAGAGTGGATAACCCCTTTAATTCGGATTCTGTGAGTGGCTCCAGCACCTCAACGTTTTCTCCTGCAGAAGCACCTGGAGATGATGAGCAGCCTGGGACTTCTCACCAGGAAAACACCACAGAGGCCACAGAATCCGATGACAAGACAAACCAGGAAGAGGTGGGACAGCCGAGGAAAAGAACCAGTAAGAGCTCAGGCAGATCAAAAAACAGAAAAAGAAGGAGATCAAACCAGGATTCTGATTCGGATTAATGATCTTCAGTGCAAACATCTCATCATTTTGAGGACAGTAGACACATTAGAGCATCAGTCGATAAAAATGTTATATATATATTTACATGTAAACATTATATAATTTAGTTGTTGTTTTTAATTGTGAAATGTATTTAAGTACAATAAAGTGAAAGCAAAAATCTGAGGATTGAGTTTGTGGTTATTAAATGTTCTTCAAGTGTAGAATTCATCTTGTAGCAAAGTTACCAAATGGTGTGAAATAAATGTATATTTTCAAAACCAAAAATATAATATTGATGTAAATAAGTTTCAGAGTTTCATCAACAATTCATTTAATTAAATTGATCATTAATATTATTGTATACATAATTATACACATCTTTTATAAGCCATTAGATGTATTTAATATGACATACTACAAATATTGGTGGACAACTTATACATATGCAATATACGATATGTTGAACATTTCGTATCTCGAAGCAAGTTTTACATGTAAAACGCCTAATCCGTGCACAGCTCTCAGAAAAAAACCATACAAGTAGATAAAAAATGGAAAACCAGAGAAAAATCAAGTAACGTTTCTTCAATCCTTAAATCTACACATTGTTAATGTAATAAATGATAATAAAACAGAATAAAACACATGCAAAATATGTACACAAATGTTAAACCTTACCTGAAGAGTGAAGCGATGTGTCGTCGGAGGTGGAACAGGTGGCGGAAGACATTACAGCACCACGTATCAAAGTTAACTTTCCGGAGATATTTCACAAATTACTGACACCAACACGGTTTCAAGCACAAGCAGAGAGAATATCAAGCGTGTGAGAAAGGATGGAGAGACGCTTCTGAGAACGTGTCACTGGGTTTCTCTAACTTGCGCTACAGAACAGCACTTTCCTAAATGTTATTTTTTTACAACACCTTGACTCTAACATTTGTTATAGTACATCATTGGTAATCTACACATAATGTTTCGCTCGATTTAAAACTGATTTTACTGATTTTAAAACCGTATCAGCCCCTTAAAGCACACTTTCTTGAAAGGGAGAAAGGAGCGCAAGGAGGCGGAAGCGCGGCCTGATGTGAGACAAACAAGTGGAAAATAGAGCAGCAATGTTTGTTATTGTTCGTAACTCGAAGCATTCGTATATCAGGGTACCACTGTATAGATACATATGTATTAACTTGTGTAGACAGATTAAAAAAAATTCCAAACATTTTACATAACATATGCAGAAGTGGCCATATATTGACACCGTCATTCCCACAGCCCGAAATTTCGATATAGCAAGTGAGCAGTTCAATTTAGTTATAAAAAAAAACTTGAGATTTCTTTGACCTTTTCTATATCTGAAGACACTGTTCACCTGAACACCTGTTGAAATACTAAACGGTGATTGGCTAAATGGCTTAGCACAGGTAATGCCAGTTTTCATAAAGAAACGTAAAGAAAAAGCTAAAAGCGAACCATTCTGAAGCATCTGTCAACCATTGACTTTGGCAAAAAAAAAAAAAAAAAAAAACAATTTGGCTCAATTTGGACTGAATTTCACCAATATTTGTGCCAAAAGACCCTTTTCTACAGGCATGCATCACAAAGTTTGGACATCACTGAATTCTGTATTTTTAATGAGAAACAAAAACTTCACCATATCTTTGTCTGTTTGTAATTACAATTATTTCAGTTTTGAGGTGACAGAAGTAACTTTTGCTGTCATCAATCTATACTGAACACATTCAGTATGTTTGAGTACCACTAGCAAGATATTTAATTGAGAGGGGAAAAAAAAGATAGAATTTTCTTTGACCCGTGTATGCCTTTCATCCCTTCAGTAGCTCCCACTCTCGACTGAGCTGTCAATCACATGGTCACACATTAAACTAAATCAAAATTCAACCATTATGTCCATTCATAAATTTAGCTTGTGTTGACTATTCAAGTAAATTAAAATAATTTCAACATGTTTACAAATTCCATCTTATATTTAAGTCCCTGATGAAATCTGGTCCAAAACACGCCTTTAAGCAAAATGAATGAATTACGATTCATTTAGGTCTAAGAAAAGGGGTGGAGCTTACAGAATAGGTCAAATGCATCTCAGAATTTTGTTTGTGTGTTTGGGTTCAGTTGCTCCCTTCCTACAAAAATCTATGATGCACATTTTTTAAATATTCCACAACTTTTCCAAAAAAAGTGGATGAAAGAAGCAGTTTCGTTTGTTCATTTTCAATCATAAACCAGATCAATTCTTCAGAATACACGGCAATGTTAATTCAATCATGATCAAGCTCATGATAAATGAAACATCATCTTTAAAATAGTCTCAGGGAGAAAAAAAAAACATCAAGACCAAAGAGCGGAAATCAGAGCGAAGCCAACCTCAATCCCAAACCACAATGAGTGAGACATAGTGTGTGTGTAATGAGCTTAGTTTCCCAAACCTCTGGATGTCTGAGGGAAGGAGGCCCAGCCACAGCACGCTGGGGACGGTTAGATTCTGCGCCTCGAAGGCCATGGACTGCAACACAAAGAGACAGATCATAAAGCAGGGGAGTAGACCGTAATCAGGACATCAACACAACCTATGTGAGGTACTGCAGCAGTGGAGATGCAGGAGCTTTGAATGGAAAAATCAAAAGATGTCGTCATTTGAAAGGAAAGTTTAAACGCAGAAAGTTTTATTCGTTTTCATCTGTTCAGAAAGCATGACAATTACATTAAATACTTGTTCAGTTCGGCATCTGAATGTTGCAAGGTTTATGATGATTTAAAAAATGTAGGCCTTACAATATTGCAAATGGCATGTGGGGTAGCTCTATCAAAATGAAAAAAAAGAGCTTTCAAACATCCACAAGACATGTACTGTAAATGTAAAAAGAAAATATTATTAATCTAGAAGGTAAAACCCACATATTCTACAAACGCATGGCTTATGAAACTTATGATTAGTTTTATGAACTCAATACATGAATTATGGTCATCCTGTGGTATTGTTTTCTTTTTTGGCTCAGTCAGTAGAGCATTGTGCTCACAACGCAACAGTTGTGGGTTCAAACCCCAGGGAAACCCCAAGAACTGACAAATTGTGTTAATTCTTAATATGTAAAGTCGCTCTGGATAAAAGCATCTGCCAAATAAAAAAAAAAAATCCAAAGAAGGAGGAATAAATGAAACTAAATGAACGACAGGAGCCATGTCTCCCTGTTGTGATACAACTTCCTGTCTGAGACAGTAAGATTCAAAATATTGTTTATATATTAAAAACGTTTTAAATTACATCCGAAATGAGAATTAAAAAATCTGAAAGGTGGAATGCACAACTTTCACCATTAGGTGTCACAGTGACATCTGGTATAAATAAATATATTGAACAGGAAAACAATTATTTAAAAAAATTTCAGCTACTTCAGATAAATTTGAAAATTTGAAGCACCAACATTAATGAAAGTCTCTGATGGTTAATACTGAAATAGTGTGCCATGTGTTTCTAATGTTGACAACAAAAGTAGATATTTATATGAACATTGTTAAACGTACAAAATAAAAGTGAATAATCAGACAGACTTTATAGACAGCGTTTGAAGTATTATCTGTTTATTTTTCCCATAAAAATACGTAATATTTTGCACCTTCATTCAGAACATTACAAGTAAATCCCTGAATCCATTCAGAAGTTCATGAGGTTAACTTTCATTAAAAACTCAGTAATAGCTTCAAACTTAGTGATCTTTGAAATCCCTTCTTATCGAACACTGCATTATTTATATTATATTTATTCATTACCTAATATTTGATTATTTCAAAAGCAGGATTTATCATCCACAAGTACAAATACTTTATTTTTTCCACAGAGTTAAGTATAAGCTTATGACTTTACATGCTTCCTCTTTCGGTCTCGCCACAAAGAGAAAGAGAAATAATTACATGTCGCCACAGAGCAAAACCCTTCACAAGCCAGGCTGGAGACAGCACTAAAATAGCAGGAAGCGGGACTTACCCGAGAGCCGTACTTGTAGATGCACATGATCTCGATGCCTGGAGAGAAAGAGAAAGAGAGAGAGAGATTCTACATCCACCAATATACCTTTATATTTATACTTTAGGACTTTTATGGCATCGCTGTTAAAAAGCCCTAAAGTTGCAGTGATCATGAGTCTAGATATTTTGAAGTAGTTTAATTGGCAAGAACAGAATTTCAAGGTAGAGCTGTTCTGTCTCACTCTTGTTACTTAATTTTGGAGACTGGTGTTACAATTTGGCACACAAAAAGAATCCCAGTTGCTTTAATAATTAATTTTTTTTAAATCAAAGTTGTGTCACTGTTTCTCATCAATGTTTTCACTGCATTTCTGGAAATCTAGATCCACAGACTCATTAACAGCAGAGGCCTTCAAACTAAATACTGAGGCATTCACACATGAACGACAATCTTTAACCCAAGTTTGAGCTCATTCTTTTTCAGTAGACCGAGAGAAAAATATATTTTATATTTACATTTTTGATTTTTGAAAATGTAAAACATTACTAAAGCAAATAAAACAGTGAATAATTCAAGACTTTATTTCCATCAAAACATTTGTTCAATCAAACTTTATCCGTCAAAATCAGCAAGGGAACAAATACTCGTTTTTCTAATTGTGTAAAAGTTATGCAATGACATCACAGGGCCACACCCCCTTCATTTATATGGAGAGTAAAAAAATGGCTTTGGTTAATATCTGATGATTTCATGTTTAGAGAATTGACTTCACTGTGATCACCACTACTCACCGGATGACAACCTTTAAGTAGAGATGATTTCCTGACATTTATACCTTCCTAATTTCAACACTCCTGCTGTGAAATCTACCCCTAGCCATTTAAACATAGTTTCAATCCCATTTTAAAAAAATTAAAAACACATTTATAGCTGAAATACAGTTTTTCAGTAAATAAATGCCATTGAAAGCTTACTAACACTCTTGTAATGACTAAATAAACTACAATAAATACCATTGCTTCACATTTTAGCCCAAAAATAAGTTTTATTCTGGGAACTGTGACAAATGACTGTATTTTTGTAAAACATTCAAATTCTCTGCTTTTAGCACAAAGTATAAATGCATACAAAGGTCTCAATGTTTGGTCATACTGGGGTTTGTCGGACACTTGTGGTGGTTTAAGGGGGAGAGACATCTATGGACATGGACCGTAATGGACAGATGTTTGAAAGAATTAGTCCCAGCAAGCCTAGCAACAGGCAAACAAGTCAAAGGATGGGATGATTTGTAAACAGCACAAAATAATATGGCGAATAACATTTAATTCAAAGTCCTGTTCTCTCATCCGCCATAGCGACAGCTAGTGGGTGCTTTTATTATTAATATACCTTCTTTTATGCACACCATGCTTAACAAAAGATTGTATTTGGTTAACTGTATTGCTCCCTTGCACAGGATCTTCCCATACAAACATTTTGTTAAAGTTCACCACCAGGAAAATCTCACCAGGGAAAAGCAAAATGATGTGTGTTACCTTACCATAAGGGTCTGAATCCACCAGGGCAAAGACTGGGATTTGTAAAGTGTCCCGCAGTTTCCTGACCATCAGTCTGCTGTTGACATCAGGCACTCCTTTACCCTGGTATGCACAAGATTCAACATTTAGACCTCAAACACACACACGCGCACACACGCACACCCTTACTGTTATGATGATACAGGGAGAGAGTCTGGTACAAAAGTCATCATCTAGTAGCCTCTGGAAGGTAGCGTCTTTCTCCACGATCAGAAGAAATTTAGCAGATGAAACGATGTCTTCATGTTTGTTGAGAAAGTTTTTTAGATTGTCTGTAGAACTGTGTAAACACTACATTTGCTATTATACTCTATGTCTACTATACTCTTGCAAATGTGAAAGGATACTTTTGATTCCATTAACATTGGAAGACACCGGCACAGCCTTGAGAGGAAACAAGTAAAGAACTTTCAAATATTTTGACAGAAAGACATCACACATTTGAGGTTCCAATCACTATTTGAAAAATGTCAAATAGGAACCAGCAATTAATGCTCTAAGGGTGAGACCTTCTATTGAGAGCTTACTGCACAGCTGGAGCTGCAGTCCACCTTTGTGCCATCTTCTTCCAGGTAACACAGGTCTCCTGAGATGATTCCCTTGGATGTTGAAAGCTACAGGTATGAAGAACCATGAAATATTTGGAAAACCTCCCGTTATGTGCATAACAGTGCATTCATGACTTGCTACATTACAGAACAAACAACAACAAAAAAATGTCTGATTGCCAATGGAGGAAACACAATCAGTATTCTCTAGCGTGAACAAAAGCACTTCCACTACTGAAGTAGTAATGTATTGTGACACATTAAGAAAGAACAATATAAAACCATCACACTCTCTCTCCCACTCAGAGTACAAGAGATCTCTTTCTCTCTATTGTCACATTCTCCAAGTGTAGTACATTGCTCCAATGTTAGCACTGCCTCTAGAGGGTGGAAAATATCATATGAAACCATGGTGATCTTCTCTTTATGGTTTTACATTTCTAATAACTCTGTATATACATTAAACAGTTTGAACAGTTGGGAATAAAATAGTGTGATGCATATTGTATTATGTTTCCTTGCACCACTGTCAACATCAGACCTATTTTGAGAGTGCAAATACATCAAACGCACTCACAAACAGCGTTTTTGTGAATAAAATGTTCTTCTCACTAAGAAAAACGTATTTTGAACAAGCAAAAATCTATTTTGAGCGTAAAATCAGTTCTTGTTTGCCCTCACATTGATGTGCTCACTCAAAACAAACCACAATAACAACCTGTCACAATTCAAACCAATCAGAGAGCTTGATATGAACTGAAAACTTTCTCATAATTGACATTGCTTCTGTACTTTATTTACCGTTATGTTGTTTTTTTCCTATCTGTCCCTTATGCAGATGAGTACAATTGTACTGTACCTTAAATTGTTACCAAAAAAATTTAAAATTTTGTCTGCTTCTGCTGAGAGAAGGTTGTGATTGGTTTACAGGCCAGCCAATAAGAAGATAGAAGACTATCTAAATGGCTGTAATTGTGACAGTTTGTAACTGTGGTTTGGTTTTGAGCGAGCGCACGAACGTGAGAGATTTTATGCAAAAAATGTATCATTGCGCCCTCAAAAATATAATGTTCTTTGCGAGAGGAACGTTTTATTCCCAGACATTTTGCACTCAGGATTGTGGTGTTAATGTAATCACACAGATTTTTAAAGTATTCTCACTACAGATCTTTTCACACTGCACGGCTGTCTGAGGCAGCATTCAGCTGCTTGCATGAAAGATTGGAGACAGGGAATTTAACACTGCATGACTTTAGAAAGAATCTCAGAGAACTTTGTAAGAGAGCAATTTTTTATAAAAAATGACAGTGTGTTATTTTGTGTATTTTTCGACCATTTTTGAACCAAAACTATTTGCAGTCTATACCTTTTGAGGGCAGTCATGCCATGGTTGATAATGAGATGATCACTGGTTCAACGTCTCCACTGGGAATTGAAGTTGAGGTGAGTGTTGAAAGCTCATTCTCTCCTACCAGGGACCATGATGACTGTGGTGGTTTTAAACAAGTCACCAGTTTCCCCGACTGCTCCCTGAGTGCCACAGATATGGCTGCCCACTGCTCCGGGTGTGTGTTTGTTGACTGCTGTGTGTTTGCACTTAGATGGGTGAAAGGCAGAGCACAAATTCCTTGCATGGCTCACTCCATACTTGGTCACAATGCCCTTTCATTGTAACTCGTCTCCAACTTCCCAATGGCCTGGAAGCTGCTCTCTCATTGGCTGCATGCAATCTCACTATGTTTTCACACAGCAAGGGGCTTAATTGCCAAAAGCCTCAGCTATTTACCATGCCAAATATCTCATTACCAGTCGGTGAGTCCTCTCTCTCTCAGATCCCATCTTTGGTAGTTCACACTGTGCGATGGTCACAAGCTCAAATTTCCCCATGACTTCAGGCAGTTACTTCAGCATTACTAAAAGGTTGCGGTGTAACGATACACCCTGCTCACAATACAATACATA